GTCGACGTCTTTCTCTAGATCAAAGGAGCCGGCATGCTCCACGTTGGGCAGAATGCCGTGGGCAGAACGCGATGGAGACGCGAGGCTCGTCGGAGCTCGAATCCGCCAAATGCCAGCGCAGCAGGACCACACCTGGGTCATCTATGCGTATCCTTGCTGGCCGTACTGACATCCTTGCCAAGGCATTCGGTAATAGCCCTTTTGAATTTTTGATTACCATTACCGTGAGAAATCTTCACCGCATAACAAGAGACGGCCGCCGACATTCAACGTGACGGGGAGCAGCTGACCCTGCCTCATAGCTCCAGCACAAGGCTTCCCTATCAAAATAGCCGCCGAGCACGTTACAGAAGTTGTGGTCTATCATCCGATGATTTCGATAAAACCACCGCCAAGCACGAATGAGGCCTTCTCCACGAGCCAGCAACTCCGCGCCTACAGGAAGCAAACACATCCACCGCGGCACAACCTGGCATCAAAAGTGGGTGCTCAAAGCGGGCGCCTCGCCCCTCAAACACAGCAGCTCTCCCTATGCAGCCACTAAGGGCGCATGACCAGGTACAAAGTGCATGTACAGCCATCAGGGGGATGGCATTCTCCATTATTCAATTTGTATCTTGCTTCTTTACAGGTTCAGTAGACGATAGACTTGCTCGCTCTACTGGCTGGTATCTTAGAATACGCTGTCGTTGCGGATCTCACCGACTCAGGAGCATAGATGGACCCAGCCCCCAACATGAAGCCTTGCTTGATGGCTCGGACGAAGTATGTCTAGACCGCCGGGGAGACGGGACAAGCAACCGATGCAGCTAGAATATTCGGGATATCTAAGGAGATTGTCGGGGGCCGAGGACAAGCAATCTAGACGATAGTAGCTCTTCTTGACCGAGATACACTCCGCCCTTCGCACTTTTGTGTCCACACTAATGAACTCATCAATGCCCACGCTAATGACCCGGCCGAGTTCTGGCCAGACCTAGCGTTGACCATCATCTCCTGGAGTCTTCACACCGCTGTCTAGTTGAGTCATTTTGGCAGTCTTGGCCCAGCAAAGCTGACCGCTCCTTCGTGGTGTTGAATCCAGTTGATGCCATCTTTCCTACCGGACGCCCCTTTTGAGCTGCCTAAAAGCCGCTTCGATGAGAGCTCAAACGTCTGTATGCTGGAAATGAAATGCATGTGTGAGATAGCTGCGGAGGCCAGAACATAGTTGACGTTCTGGATCCGCCGCTTCCGACATCGTGCTATACCTTGGCTCAGTTCCCTTCATCATCTTTGTATTCGAATTTATGGGTGACCTTTTTTTGCTGCGCCTCTTAATTATGATGCTAATCAAATTGGGCTACGCCATCATTGATGCTTGGAAGCCTTGAGATTGACAGCATGACGCTACCTACCGGCTTGATATGGCCCAGGAGGATGGAAGACTGGTGCCAAAGACTCTCCACCAATTTTTACAAGCATTGAGATGCATAGAAAGAAGTCGACTCCCATTCGGAATCGCTGCAGCCTGTAAACCGCTATCAGTGCCTGACCGGTCAGTAATGAAGCCGACGCGCAGTGGCTGGAATTTCCATACCAAGAGTTTTTAGAAGAAGCGTGCCTTAACCTAAATGAGCCGACAACTTCAACCATGCCTTCTCGTACTGTATTGCAACAATAAGCAGTGCACATCCAGGGGACGCGGCATGTACTATCGACAAATGTGTGCGGTGTATTGATGCACAGTCCGTGGCCCCACGGTCGGGCATCACCCGTTGTCCCTCAGCGATGGGCCAAGTCTCGTTCAAAACATGTTTTTGACGTTTAAGATTTCGAGTTGATTGCTTGTCGCGAAATGCGACGTTTGTGTTGGATTTGAGTTTGACCTATAATGAAGCTCGGTCACAATAAGAGAACAAATGCCACGTGCCGGTGAATTCAAATGTCCCGGTGCCTTCGCACCTGGCCCTTGCGCAATATCGATATGTTTTGCTTGAAAGGAACGTGCGTCAGCGGGATTTCATTTAGCCATGGATATCATGAATACTGTTCAAACTCTATCAAGGTACACCAACTCGAAAGTCGATACATACGTAGATCAGATGGTAATTGCAGAGATGACAGATGCGTCAGAAAGTATTCGAGTGGCATAAAGATAATATAACGACAATGACCAGAGTCGAAGCCTTAGTAGCCATGATGTTGTTGCTCTGACTTTGATCAATGGCGGCTGTTTAGCACCACCGACCTGCTTCTGATGGCGAGGACTTTCCAGACATACCAATTGATACATTCCAGCTGGCATCTTGAACGTGATTCATCCCTTGTACATTGTTGTCATCTCTCTCCTTGAGCTTCCTGCTGCGTCGCACGTCCACTCCACCTCTGAATGTAAGAGACATCATAACCAGAAGTTAATGCTTCACTTCGTCGGAGCCCGGCGATTCAGAGGGTTGAATCAGTTGTCAAATATGCTTCAGGGATGCGCAAGTTCTATCGAAACTCAGAATTTCAGGTCGTCAGGGTGGTTCCGTGACTGATTTTATGTCACTATTGACTTTTTGAATATTGCGTTGGCATATTACACCCGACTTTAACAGAAATAATTAGCCGTCACTAACTGCGATTTACATGGTGCTCTGATCACAAGAAGATATCTTGGATGAAACGGATCAAAAGCCTCGAAGGCTGACTTTTGAGATCTCAGCGAAGACAGCTGAACTGCAAACCCGCGATATAACTGTGCTAGATCGTGAGAACTCAGGATATATAATGTATTTTTCGTCAGGTCCACAGCCTGGGACGTTCTATTAGAAGCTAACATAGTTTATATCGTGTTCCGAAACAACTTCTAGAAGCTGGGACGTTTTACTTCTTTATCACTCATTTTCAAGACATAATTCACAAGTTCGATTGCCACCCCATTTGACCCGCAGGAAAGTACGTTCAATACGGCAAGCAAAACACAAGCTGTCAGTCGTCAAAACTTCACATTCTATAAGAAAAACTGCATATTTCTTCCGTAACTTCCTGGCTCTCCTGTCGATCTGAGTCCGTCCGCTCTCTCTCGAGGACTCGGGAACGCAGAATCCAGCACTCCCCTACAACCTTCAAGAGACAGGAGCATAACATGGTATATAGGGCTGTAGTTCAGCAGGCAATTCCCGCACAGAATAAGCCGCTGCTCTTGTTCAGCCACAACATAAAGACGCCAGAACTTAACGACCACTCGTTCAAGCTTACTATGGTTGTCCTTTCACACGTGAAGCAGCCCCTGCAGTTCAACGGATCGAGAGTTTGTCCCACTCCGAGGCCCCCACCATCTCGTCACGACGCACGCTACGAAATTCGCTTGGCTTCCACCTCTCCCATCGGAGCATGTTTCTCCACTCCCTCTACTTGCCCTGATGGTCTAGCGGTATGATTCTCCCTTAGGGTTGTTCTTCGACAATTCAGGTCTCTGGGAGAGGTCCCAGGTTCGATCCCTGGTTAGGGCCCAATCCTTTTGCTTTTTGAGGGTTTTTGGTTCTTCAATAGGTTTCTCTGCTTTCGGTGGTCATCGGCCTACAAGGATTGACTGCATGGAGTCCTGTGGCAGGCAATTATCAGTGCAGACGAAATAAAATCGATACGTACATACATACTGTATCTTCTGTTATTTTCGCAACCCACATGCTGATCGCGCATCCCCAGCTGCCTTGAAAGCCCTTCGGAGTCCTTACCGAAATGTCGCCATTCGCAAGTTCGGCTCCGCCGCCGATCGGCCGTTTCAAGCGGGTCAACGAACGCGAACCGAGTCTGGGGTGGTGACGGAGTAGTCCTTCTTGGCATGCAATGAGAAGACGACATCGCGAGCGGGTCGTGCAACAATTGCCGATGTTCACCGCCATCGTCCGAAATCTCCTAGAATGCAGGTCAAATGCCGCCCGCAACTCTGTTCAAGCGCATCAGAACAGTGATTCAAGACTGAAAGTTTGGATGAGTTAACTTCGGCCAAAGTCGGGGCGAGAAGCAACCTTCCGCGCTCTTATCCGTCATCTCCGTCACTCTCCATGAATCAGATACTTTTGACGGAAAAGCGCGACACAAGTCAGTTTCCCGTAGGTTGGGATGCGATGAAGCTGTTAAACTAAACAGCCGCTGAGCGGTCTTGGCAGTATGAAGCTCATGGCCTCGTGCTCTACTACCAAGATGCTCAGCCACAACTCAATTGATGGTCGAAACGAAATGCGCTGCACGTTGAGGCCTTGAGATTGGATTGAGATGTACAAGATAAGATCACAGAAGTCTTGGCAAACACTATCACCGACTCAGGACCTAGTCCCACGAAACTCTGGATGTACCTTCTCAATTCTCGAATCGCTTTGTATGCCGTCAGACCCCATGTGTATATTCCATCAGTGCCCCAAACATTCGAATCGCCACAAACAAGACGTGTTTGAGCTTCAATCGCCCCGATTGTTGAGGGGGTGAAAGGCAGGCCTAACAAGATGATCCGCCGACTCGTCTGAACTCTCACATACAAATGCAGTTTCATGCAACGCTGCCCTTCTTGACATGTGCTTGCCCTGTATCGAGACATGCGAAGTCGTTGAATGGCACGAACCCATTGAAACAACCAAGTCTGGCAACTCTGAAGCGAAACATAGTTGACAAAACAGTGATCTCCATAAGAAGGACACACTGGTTTCGCAAGTATCACGAACCTTCTTGATGACATGATAACGACTTGACAGTTACTTTCTACTTTCTTGATCACGTTCTCACATTCGTAAGAAACCCCGAATCTTTGAGCCCTTATCAGATACCAGTGACATGAATGATTTTTGTTGTCCTCGCTAATTCTTGCATGTGTCTCGTATACTTCCAAAATTGCTAACCTGTCTAAGAACCTATTGAAACTTGGGGTATATGTGCGTACTCTTAGAAATCCATATTGCGCCGACTCCTTATTCAATGTTTCCACAAAGATGACCTCTTAACGTACGAATGCTGTAAAGAGAAGAGCTGCTCTGACCTCATTTCTGCTGCCGTGAGCCACCTATCGTAAAAGTGGCGCTTTTTGGTGTATTTGTGTCTGTTAAAGACCGGGTATCTGGTTGAAGAATAGAGACTCCTGTATTGTCGGACTTCATAGATCTTCGGCTGTTGGATACAGGTCGCAGTTCGGTGTTTGTGTTTTGGGTTGATCTGGCAGACCTCGTAGACCTCGTCAAACTCTGGCGGGTCAAATCGATGAGTTTCGGGAAGAACTTGACAGCAAGCTGCCTGGCAGCTGGCATGCAGGCGACGGAAATTCCGACGCAGAGCTCGACATAAGACCAGATGATACCCCATAGAGTCTCAGCTGCGATACTAATGAGCGAGGATTCCATGAGTGTCGAGGAACAATAAACTTACCAGTGATGTTGAAAGATGTGGCAAAGACGAGTAAACTTTTGATCCGGATAATGCTCACGATTGTGAGGCTAAGGACCGCATCAGTGAGGAATGAGTCCGGGATAGAGCAAGCAACGACTTACAAGACACCAACGCCAAACATTGCCATGACTCCCAACTTCTTCTTTAAAGGAAGGTTGAGCTTGTACACTTGGGATGCCGGCAGAATAAGCACCCAGACATCCAACCCAATGTTGAGTGCGACATGGGTGAGTCCGATCAAGTTCAGATCGGCACACTTGCCGGGATGCCGGCCGTCCCATCCGTTCCAATAGTGGTTGAGCGGCTGGCATTGCAACAGGCTCAGGAGGACGTAGGAGAACCCAAGGAGGAAGTTGAAGCCCTGCGTGCACCACAAAACTGTTCTGAACAAACTAATGCTGAAGACTCGAAGGTACAGACAGATGATCGAGGCCTTGATCACCGCAAGATCCAGGATGTAGAACAGTTGAAGGACAAAGAGTAACTGTGGTTGATTAGTAACGGGATATTGTAGAAGTATCAAGGGGTTGCAAACTTACCTTCAGAAACATTGTAATTTGATAGGGGTGAAGCTTGAAAATGTCTTGGCCAAGACCATAGTTCAACACCGACCTTAATGTTAGCCCGCCATTTCTTCACTTTCGGGAGGTCTTGCCAAGACTTACTGACGAATGTTATTGGCACAAACGGCAAGAAGAATATCTATTCCCAACAGTTAGTGTTGTTACCTGTGTCATGAAGAACGCTGGACATACAAAAGCCAGCACAATCGTTGTGTCCTCAGCTCCCCATGTCGTTAGGTGCAGACCTCTAGCAATCATCCGGGCGGCGAAGAACGAGATCGGTAGGATAAGCAGGAAAATCAACGTGTAGCGTGCCGTGCTTGTCGTATCAGTCAATGGAAATCCGCATGCAGACCACGTCAGATTTGTGACGGCTACCCAGCAGGTCAGCAATCGGTGTCGGCGATGTTGTCCGTCAACACATACTAAGCGCCTCTTGGACGGTGCATGCCGTCTTTACGCAGTCTCCCACGAAGCCATTGAACACAGGATTCGTACACAGACATGTCGTGTTGTCGATGGTGCAGGGTTACTGAGGCAGAGCCTTGAGAGCGCATGTAACCTAAAGGCAAGCATCAGCAAGAAATCCATCGTGCGTAAGACGAGGAAAGTTCACGGACAGCACACTGCGGGGCCGCGCCCAAGGCGTCGGTGAACGCAGATCCAGACACCAGCCTCACGACTCCCGCAAGGACGAGCAACGAGACCAGAGAGGCCCTCATGGTGGACGGGTTGATGCCGGTGGGATGACACACACGAAGACAATGGAAGGGACAGTGGTTACACGGGATCACAATGCGCATGCATGACGGGCGCAATGTCTATTAAGAGCGGTGCCTCTCCCTCCCGACGAAAACGGCCTAACGGGCTTGAACTTCTATGATGCTCTTGGCCACTGAATGTGCCGATGCGCGTCAGGGGGCAGCGCGATGGCCCAGTCCCAGGAGATTGGCCACGCTTGCACGCAAAGCGCCTTCAAAGGCAGCACGGCCGCTGGCAGCGCGCGGGCTCTGGGGAAGCGAAGCGCCGCCATTGCTGCTATCCGCTGTCCGCTTCAAGCCAACGTTCGTTCCTCTCAAAGAGATGCATTGCTTTCGTTGAAGAAGATCGGGCCATTGGCGGAGCTGTGGCTGAGACATCGGCTGTCGTCGTGGAGCTTTGGGCGTCCTGTGGTCTTGGAGATGGGGGACGCGATTGGGTGCCGCTGGCATTCGTGGCGCATCCGGGGCAGAGGTTCCTGGGTGTGCTAAGCTTCATCGAGACGGGGCCTGGAATCTGGATGGGCTCTGACGGTTGGCATTTTCGCGCTGCTCGGGATCCTAATCCCATTGAAGCCGGGCTGAGCCACAGGCATCGTCAGTTCGAACCATTGAATTCGATAACCCATTTCTATGTGACTCTGGACCGAGATCCAACCTGTCGCCCCCTCGACCTGAAGCCTCTCGCCAATAGCTTGACACTCGTTCCTGGGCCAGGGGCGGTGGCACCTATATTTTGATCGCTCGCCACAGATGGTCGCCTTCCAAACACAAGGGGGACTGCTTTCACGAGCCGTAGATATGCCGATGATCCATTCCACGAAGTTGCACTGAAGTCGTGTCGTTGGGAGCGTGACCGGATCTGGTCTCTCGGTTCCATTGGCGGCAGAATCGTGCCAGTCGACTAGTCATTGACGAACAACACGGCCGCCCCGTATTCGGTGCGTATATCAATGGCCGAGGACGTCCAGTTCGTTCCGCAATGCCATGGCCGCGCCGACAGGTTGCATTTCCGTCCCTCAACAGATTCCAGGATCCTGCACCATCCTTCCTTGATGTTCCGAAGGTGTTGATATATCTCTTTGCCGATGGCCCGTCCTCGGCCGAACCCTGTCACCTTTCACACGCGGGCTTTCCCCGTCCTAACCGTAGTCCCTCACGGCAATTCTCCGCTTCCCCACAGACATAGGGGTAACGGGCCATCTCCGTCCCCCCTGTTCACACCTCGACCGCAGACGGGGTCTTCTCCGTCTGGCTTCTTTGCGGTCTTTGTCCGTGTGAAAATGCCTCTGATCTTCATCCAATACGTCGAGTTGCGTCACATACATAGCGTAGGGAGGGATTCTATTCCCTGCAGGGTTTCACGCGCACCGCCATGCAGACCGATCACAGCTTTTACTCTGCTGTTTGAGCAAGATCAAGCGAGGTTCAGTTCACGCCAAACGACATCAGATTTCAGACGAAAAGTCATCATTTTTGAAAAAACTGTTTCTTTTGAATCATTACTTCTTTGGGTGCATATTGCATTCATTATATGGGCCCTTTTGTTTTGGTTTCAACCATCAGACGCTTTCAGGCATCTATCGTGTACACATTATACAATCCCTAAACCTCCCTCTTCTCAGCGTGCATCGCGGCACCCTGCACGCCCTCGGCGGCCTCCTGCTTCTCGTTGTGGACAATGTCGCGCTCCTCGGCGTCCGCGTTGCCGTACAGACCGATCCTGTACCACGGCAGCTCGAACAGGCGGTCCATGCTCTCGAGCGAGCGGCCGGCGGTCTCGGGCACGAAGAACCACACCCAGACGCCGCCGATGATGGTAATCGCCGCGAAGGACCAGAAGGTGCCCATGGGCGAGATGCCGCCGTGGTCGGTGGAGAGCAGCATGTTGGGCACGGCGCGGGAGTTGCCGTACTGGTTGGCGAAGTGCAGCGTCATGGCCCAGGAGGTGGCGAGGGCGCGGACGCGGAGGGGGAACAGCTCGGCGGTCAGGAGGTACTGCATGGAGTTCCAGCCGAGGGCCCAGCCGAAGCCGGAGATGTAGATCATGGCGATGGCGCCGCGGGAGACGCCGAGGAGGTTCTCGGGGAGCACGAAGCTCTCGTCGACGCCGAGGAGGGGCACGTGGGTGAGGAAGCCGGCGACGTAGATCATGGCGACGGCCTGCAGGGTGATACCCGTGAGCAGGGCGCGCTTGCGGCCGATGACGTCGACGAGGAACAGCGCGCAGAGGATGGCGGCGGTGAGCTTCACGACACCGAAGACGGCGGTGACGAGCAGGGACTCGTTCTGGCCGGTGATGCCGAGGATCTTGAACAGGTCGGGGGCGTACAGGGTAATGGAGCCGGCGCCGGACCACTGGGAGAGGAACTGGACCATGGTGCTGAGGTAGAGACGGTACAGGTTGCTGGGGACGAGGAAGAGCTCCTTGACCTTGCCGAACCAGGTGGCGCCCTTGCTGGCCTCGAGCTCCTCGTGGTGGGCAGCCTGGATGTTGTAGATCTCGCGGGTGACGTACTCGTGGTCGACGGAGAGGTGACGCAGGTGAGCCATGTTCGCGGTGGCCTCCTCGATCTTGCCCTGCTTGACCAGGAAACGAGGGGACTCGAACTGGAAGAAGGTGAGGATGAAGATGATGCCGGCGAACATGATGTGCAGCGAGGTAGGCACGAGCCAGCGGTTGTGGGTGGTGTCGCCGAGGTGAATCTGGCAGCCGTAGTTTGTGAAGTACGCGAGGACGATGCCCAGGTACACGAAACCGGTGAAGACGCAAGTGCACAGGCCGCGGACGGAGGCCGGGGCGATCTCAGCGAGGTAGACGGGGCCGACGACGGGCGTCTGGCCGACACCCAGACCGGCGATGAAGCGGCCGGCGTAGACGGCGCCGAGGTGCCCGTTGTTGGCCATGAAGATGGCAATACCGATAATCCAGATGACGCAGAGCTGACGGGTAGCCCAAATACGGCCGATCTTATCACAGATGACGAAAGCACTGAACCGGTCGTGTTAGTCGGAGAAGAGTCAAGCGCAAAAGCCACCCGAGGGGCGTCGACTTACAAGAGAGCACCAGCAACGGAACCGAGCTGGACCATGGCAGAGACGTTGGCCTTGATGTTGGTCTGCTCAACTTCGCTGTACTGATCGTAGTGGATGAACTTTTGGAAATCCTTGGAGCCGAAGGCGCCAGAGATGAGACCCTCATCGACACCACGGGCGGCGCCCATGAGGCCGAAGGAGACGACGGCGAACCATAGTCGCCAGTTGAAAACGCCCTTGGGCTCGCCAAGCTCACCGAGCCTGAAGACGTTGATGGGTTTCTTGACACCACCTCCAGCCATTTTGGAAACTGTTTCTTTTCGGTGCTCGCTCGGGATGATTCGTCGGCGGGCTAGGCAAAGAGAAAAGAAGGGTGCGTGAGGTTTGAGGTATGAACACGACGGTTGAAGAACGGGAAACCGTCGAATGGGTGAGAGGGGGATGATATTAATACTCCAAGAAGATCTGGGGAGGGAAAACGGCAAGTGATCGGACGGAACACCAGCTTACATGAGTGACCCAGATCACAAATGCAAACTACACACCACGCGCACACGACTAGAATCCCTCCCTCCCCGCCCTCTGCGAGATGACAGCCAGCGGTCAATGCGACCCCGTGGGAAAAGGGTCGTAGGGGGACATCGGGGGGATGGCCCGCCGACCGACCAATCGCTCAACTTCCGTTCCACCATCGTGAAAAATTGCGAGGGGAGGAACGGGTGGAATGGTGTCCTGGTTACGAAACTAGACAAGGGTGTCTTGGTGAGTTGAATGGGGAAGGGTATGGGGATGAACATGGAGATGCGTGGGGAGAGAGGAGAGACGATGCCTTTGGTGCGTAAAGTGGGCGGCAGCTTGCCCATATCCGGCTGTAGCAACCGCGCGCCGGCGGCTTTGGTTTGGGGTAGTTGGGGAAAAGACAAGGAAGAGGAGGAGGAGTAGGAGGAGTGCGTAGGACGGACTACTCGAGTCGGGGGTTGGCAGACAGACCTTTGCCTGCCAGCCTGGCCGGGATGTTCTCCGCTGTCCGTATTGTCGGACGCGCGCGTTGTGTAAGCTGTTTCTCTGTCTCTCTCTCGCTCTCGTTATTTTTCTCGGCGCAGTTTTGCCGTATCTCGCAGCTGTATTATCCACAGTGATGCGCCATGCAGAGACAACGGTTTTGGGGGCCCCTCGGTTTACTAGATCTGGAAAACGGGCTCTAGATCTGTTTGATACTGGGGGGTCAGAAATCATTTGGTATCCCAAAAGTTGGCCCCGAGAAATTCGACGGAAAAGGGGGGCCTTGAATTAACGGAAAAAGCTCTGATACAAAGTCTAAATTCTCAGAATCGACCACCTGCCGCGGAGAACTGGGATGACTTCCGCTCATCTTCAGATGACCGTTCGCGCCTCTGGGATGGCCCATGAGGCCACGCGAGGTTAGAGGACGGCCATCACCCCGCGCATCAAGGCCGATAGACTCGTATTTCTCACGGTTAGTGTTCTCAAGCCAGCGGTTTGGGATCAAGAAGCTCCCGCAAGTTCCCGTAATGCAACACACCAAGAGACAATTCCACGGGCAGGGATGCAGTAGTGTCTCCCAGCTCAACAAGAAATGAATCGCCCGAAGAAGCAAGGCCGCTTACGTCCCGGCTGGGGGAAGGGGGACAGCGGTCGCTGGGGAGGTGAGGTTGGGGTAAATCTGCCCAGAGAGGGTGTGATGCACGCGAGAAGGGCGAAGAAACCGCCTCAAGGCTTGTCTGCACCGGCAGGATGGTGTTCCGCGGCGCTGGATTGGACCAAGAGTTCGACAAAGGACGATCCCGCCCAGTGCCAAGTGACGTGATGTTCCTTGGGAGCGGTGCTTGCTTGCTTGCCAAGTGCGCAAGCCAAGTCAGGGCCAAAACCACCACAAGGCACTTAGTAGAGACCCCCTGTCCTTAGGT